AAGAAAAAATTATGAAAAAATTATTTCAAAATTATATTATTTGAATAAATTCTAATTAAAATAAATAGACTAAATTAACATATTTTTAGGGTAAAATGAAGAATACATTAATATTTTTTTTTATAATACTCTATTAGAATATTCTAATTTTAAAGTATTTTTCACCTTTTTTTGCAAGTTTAGTAAATAAATAATAATATCATATAAAATATAATTTCTTTTTTGAAGTAATTACAGACATTAATGAACTTTCAATTAAAATATCAAATTTAATTGTTGAATTGATAAAATATAAATTATACAAAAAATTACAACTAATGTAAATTTTTTTTTCATAACCAAATAAAATTATTTGTCTTAAAAATTGATTGTAAAGAAAGAAATGATCCATTTACATAACTCCCAAATATTTTCTTTAAATTTAAAATGGTTCTTATAATTCAAACATCAAAAACAAATTTTGTCTTAATCAAAAATTAATGTACTAGATTAAACATTTGTCAAAAGCTTAGGGGGGGCAGCTGCCCCCCCCTTGTCCTATGGTAGCTCCGTCCCTGGCGCCAACGCTATGTTAATTTGTTGTCTTTGATTTCTTCTATTTATTGCTGTATATATTGATTAAAAAAAAAAAAGAAAGAGAGAAGCTTGGTGGAATCGCAGGTTTGCAGCAGTTAAAATGCGGGAAGTCTTTAGACTTTGTGGTTCGGGGATTCACGAATGAATAGCATCTGTTGCAACTAAAAAGCAAGGCTTTAATTTGAGAAATTGTTGCAACAATAAAGCGCTCAAAGAGGTCTCATTTGTTTCATATGTTGGGAGGGTTTTTTTAATGATTTGTCCCAAGTCCTCCATTGAAGAGGGCTTCATCAAAAAAACATTCTGTGCGCTCATATATAAAAGGAGGAACAAATGCAAATTCAGACACTGAATTGGGAGGGTAAGTTTTTTTGAATTGACGTCGTGGCTTATAATATAAAGGAGACTATTATATATTAAAATTATTTCTCTTTCTTTTAAAAGTATAAGTTAAATAAATATAAATGTCTTACGGTTTAAAATGTTCATAATAATTATATTTCTACTATAATAATTCTATTTGTGTTCATACAACAATTACATGCAACCCATAAATGCACATAACTTTTTTTACTTAATTAATTGTATTTGTTACTATGAGCATAGTTTGACTTTGTATTTAGTATCGCAAATAATGCTTTTATAGTTTTATTTTAAACTATATTTGCCTTCATATAAAGATTTCATGTAATCTCAATTCTCAACAATACTTTATTAATGAAATCATTAGTTTTTTTATAAAGAAGAAAAAAAATGCTACCATTTCTACATGCCAAAAACCTAACGCGGGTCGTCCACGTAGATACCCGCAATCCACGTGCAGTGTGGAAAGTCGATCAGCACCAGTCAAACAATCCATCATGGCAATATCTGATTGGATGAAACTTTTAGAAAAGAGACGAGGTCCATCAACTTTCCACAGTCCACATTTTAGAGTGGAACTTCAACAACCAAATCAAACGTAAAAAGATAAAAAATAAAAAATAAAAACAAAGTTGACAAAACATAGAAAGGAGGACTAAGGTGACATGTATTACTAAAAAATGTTTCAAAGTCACAGAATACTTTTCAAACCCAAACCTTGGGCACCATTTCTTGTGGTCAAAAATTCCAACAACATTAATTGCAAATCCCATCCCCATCTTCATCTATAAATACCCCCCCACATTTATTCACCCTTGCATCAATACAACATAGGACGTTCTCTAAATTTGGAGACATATTGAGATGGAATTCTTTTTCCCTTCTCAAGCTTTCAACTTAATCATGGAGGTTTTTTTTCTATTTCTGATCTTGAAAGTGCTACTTTTGTTCTGGGTTACGCCCCTTCGAGTTCGTCATAGGCTCCAGAAGAATGGGTTTGGGGGTCCATCCCCAAGGTTTCCTCTGGGAAATATTGAAGAAATGAAGAAGAAGCAGGAAGGTGTCACACCACTTGAGTTTGCAGATAGTATTATCTCGCATGATATACACTCTAACGTGTTTCCTTACTTCGCTCGGTGGCAAAAGGCTCATGGTAAGCCTTTCGAATACGTATATCATTTAAAAATTTTATTGTAAAAAAAAATTAAAAAAGTATTATACAATTTAAATTATATATGATGTGAACCTTTTTAATGTATGTAAAAGTGGATATGTGTTTTACCATTCGGACAACGGATTGCAGAACGCTAGACTGGCATTTATTGTATAATAACATTATGTTCCACACCATTTTCCCCCAATTTCTCCCTTTTGTATGGACGTTAGTATATGCTTGGCTAGGGCAGAGATTGTTTAACACTGTTTATGTTAATTGCAGGGAAGGTGTTTGTTTACTGGTTGGGGACAGAGCCATTTTTGTACGTTGCAGACCCTGAGTTTCTGAAGAGGATGTCAACGGGAGTGTTGGGGAAGAGCTGGGGAAAGCCGAATGTGTTTAAACATGACAGACAACCCATGTTTGGAAAAGGATTGGTGATGGTTGAGGGAGATGAATGGGTTCGTCACCGCCATGTTATCACTCCTGCATTCTCTCCGGCCAACCTTAAGGTTTTTCCCTTCTCCATGATCTCATCATATGTAGAAAAAAAATAATTCCTACGAGTACACTTTTTTTTATTTTGGTACCTAAAAAGTTAATTGTTTAATGTTATAAAAATTTAAACCTTTAAATTTAACTCTAAATTAAGATTTTTTTTTTATTAATAAAAATCGACTTAGTCAAATTCTTGTTGGTTTGCTATAAATAAATTTTTCTCTTGAAACAAAAGTTCTTTATTTTGAAATTTTGATTTTCAAAAAGTAACAGCGTTTTTATTCATCATAGACAATGCATCAACATGAACTTGTAAAACAAGACGATGGACTTTGAAAAATGATAAAGAAAAGGAAAACAAAAGAAAATTCAGCATATATTACTATAATGGCTCCGAGGATTAATAACTTCAAAAAGAAAAAGAAAAGTTGTACTCTTGTTTAAGTAATTAATTAGTTTTTTCTTTTATTGAAAAATAAATAAGTATCCTTGCTATTGAATAACTAAAATTTGAAGTTAGTTGGTTTAAACTTGACTATTTTGGTACTGAATCATATAATTTGTTATGTGGTATAGGTTATGGCAGACTTAATGATGGAACCAGCCACAAAGATGCTGGACAAGTGGACGCTAATGGTAAACTCTGGCAATCCTGAGATTGATTTCGAGAGAGAAATCACTACGACTGCAGGCGAGATCATTGCGAGGACGAGCTTTGGCTTAAGCAACCAAAATGGAAGAGAAGTGTTTGAAAAGCTACGAGACATGCAGATCACGCTCTTCAACTCCAACCGTTACGTTGGTGTCCCATTTAGCAAATTCATGTCCCCTAAACAAACCCTGAAGGCGAAGAAGCTGGGGGAGGAGATTGATGAGCTCCTCTTATCGATCATATCTGCTCGTAAAGAGTCGATATTAAGTGGTTCTCCTCCTCAGCGGGACTTGTTGGGACTGCTGCTGGAGGGAAGCCTGTCGGATGGCCGGAAAGGGAAGAGTTTGACAACAAAGGAGCTAGTGGATGAGTGCAAAACTTTCTTCTTTGGAGGCCATGAAACGACCGCGTTGGCTCTCACATGGACATTGCTACTCTTGGCATTGCATCCAGACTGGCAAGAACAACTAAGGGAGGAGATCCAGGAAGTGGTCGGAGATAAAACTCTTGATTACCCCATGCTTTCTGCACTAAGAAAGGTAAGATATATACGATTTTTGTTATATATTCTCTTCACATCTCTTCTTAATATCTATCCTTTGCTCATTTCAAATCTTTAAATTTAAAATACCCACCCAAAACAATGATAGAGCCACATAAACTATAATTGTTTTAAATAATTAATTATAACATTTAAAAATATAAATTTATATATTAATTTTAATATATGTAGTGATAAATATTAATATTTAAAAATTTTATATAATCATAACAATCTTTTGTGGCACAATAACTGCACCCCTAATATTCTATTCTTTCTTGTGCACACTCTAACCAAAAACCATGGTAAAATGCATTTTTTTTTTACAAAAAAAACATTAATTAAGTGTTAGTATTTGTTTATAAGTCAATATTAAAATTAAAACTAAATAAATTTCATCTGTTATTTTTTAAAATAACATAACTTATCTACCGTATCACATGAAAGAGTTCTTGTAGAATGCATTGTTAAACCTTAAACGCGTAGAAGCCTTTTTAGGGTATGACGTTTGTAGTGGACATAATGACATGAGCATTCATGGCGTCATGGGTGCCTCCCTCCCTTTGACACGCTCCTTGGGAGTTCACGGAAATTCTTCAGGATCAAAGGTCAAAGACACATGAAATGACTCCCAAGCAAACGAAGGACCACGTGCTGCATGTCATGTGTCATGACCGAAAATGATGTCGGAACAAAGAAAACTTTCCCATACCAATAAGCTCTTGACATTCGGCAACTCCCAGTGGTACTCATCACATGCCGGAAAGAGTGGCTGTAGTAAGTCAACGGTGATGGTGACCCCCTTCATCTGCCCCAAATGGCTACCTCTAGCTTTCTTGCAAGTTTTAACCACTGCCGGCCAGGATTTTTTTGTTTTACTTTCTGATGTTTTTGGAATGTCGAAAATGACAATTCGAACCTCATGCTGTCCTTGGAAAATCTGAGATAGAAGATAGGAACCTTTGATCCGGGTGGTTATGGTAGTAGTATAATTCCTTAAGATCATCAATAATGGTTAAACTTTTTATTTTAATTTAATTATTAAATATAATTAATAATTTATAAAAATAATTAATATTTATTATTTGATACATTAAAATTAATTTATAAATAAATATTTTTAAATATTATAATTAATTATTAAAAAAATATAAATTAATAAAATTACTATTAAATTAGTTATTTTAACCATTTGAATAATAGTAATATCCTAGCCCTTGATTCTCCAATGGAAAGAAAAAGTTAGAATATGAGAGTGTTTGGCAAAGTTTTAGTGCAGTGGGAGTAATTACGTAGCTATTTCATTTTACATTTTAACATGGTAGAATTGAGTATTATCCTAAGTCAAATTACATTTTAATATGATAGAATTAAGCAGCTATTTTATTTTATTTTTCATTCTTTTATAATTTGAGTTATACTGAGTTGCAAAATAAAATTTTTTAAATAAGATATAACTCTTAATATTAAAAAGTCTGTCTTATCAAATGATTTATATTTTATAATCTAAAATGTAAAACACTTTTAATTTTACTATTTAATATACTATTAATATGAAATTAATCTATGGGATATCCTATGAATTGATATGCAGATGGGATGGGTGATGAATGAGGCTTTGCGACTATACTCACCAGCACCAAATGCACAAAGGCAAGCAAGAGAAGATATCAGGGTGGATGATCTTGTTATCCCTAATGGAACCAACATGTGGATCGATGTGGTGGCTATGCACCACGATCCGGCTCTCTGGGGTGAGGACGTAAATGAATTCCGGCCAGAAAGGTTCAAGGATGACATAAACGGTGGGTGCAAGCACAAGATGGGGTTCTTGCCATTTGGGTTTGGAGGGAGGATGTGTGTCGGAAGGAACTTGACAACAATGGAGTACAAGGTTGTCTTAACCCTCATTCTCACTAGATTTTCTTTCTCCCTTTCACCGGCTTACCGTCACTCACCTTCGATTTTGCTTTCTTTGAGGCCCCGGCATGGATTGCCCCTCATAATTCACCCACTTTAAGATAGAATTATGTTCTTTTCATTGCATTATAATACATAGCTTACAATATTTACCGTCTAGTGTAGAGGATCAGGGCAGTTGTATTTATTAAAATATAATAACATGAATCAGACGTAGATCAAATACATATTCTAGAGAAAGGTTGTTCTTACAATGTTCAGTCTGTTATTGAAGAAAAGTGACACGTTAATCAACATGAGATCTGGTCTAATTAAATTGAGCTAACCTTAAAACAGTGGCGGGCTTGTTGGGAAGCGCAGGTGCATCCATTGTCTCTCATATGTTGCTAAATTATTCCAGCTAATCTCATCGAGCAAAGAAAGCTTCATTTTTTGTAGAGTTTCTTCTTTGGGAGAAAATCTGCTGCATCATGGGCATACGTTTCCCCAACCAATAAAATTTTGACAACTTAACAACATTTCTAGTGGTAGGGAATACATGTACCTGTGATGCCAAAAGATTCCTCCTTCCTCGAAGCCTTACCGTCATCTTGAATCATGTCATTAGGCACCTGAGAAAAATAACAGTTGACAAATCCAACAATATGCAGTAAGCGAAAAAGAAATAATTTAGTGTTCAATATGAAATTTCCCATTAAACATCATCCCATAACTAAAGATCGTCATGTATGGTGCAACTGACCATTCATATATTCATTGAAGCAAGGGGTAAAAGTTAAAAATAAAAATAGTAAAAAAATAAAAAAATAAAAAACAGATAAAAACTCGTCATTTGGCAAGGTAAAAATGATATTGCCACAGAAGCCTGGCAGAAAAGTACGTATACCAACAAAGAAAATACCTTGAGTGCAATTCATCTCTCATGTAGAACATAGAAGGAACCATATCCAAAGAAGGACTTGACATCTACCCATTTCTTCCGTTCAGTGAAGTTTCCCTCAAATAAATCTGGATGTGTACTGGAGACCATTGAGGACGGATCATTGGTTTTGACTGGATCCTTCACACCTTCAGTTGCAGCTTTCACACCCTGCAAGAGGGGTGGTATGAGCATCTGGTTTTTATACCATTTTTAGTGTCAGCATTACTTCTTTCATTGTTGTTGTTGTTGCTGTTTTTTTTTTTTTTGGCAGCCGTTAGCTTATTTCACTTGCAAAAAGAAAAGATAGCAAATCTCAAATCAACTTTAACCCACACAACATAATGTTGTCAAATGAGAAACGGCAAGGCAGCAGAAGAAGATTCCCATAAGCATCTGACTAACATATAAGTTGATGCAGAACACAAACCTTGTAATAAAGACTAGGCATCTTCATATTTGGATATGAAACTGATGACATGTCAGAAATCTGCAACTACTTGATTTCTACAATTATGCCACACCCTGGTAAATTGAAAGCAGCAAACCTTAATTTCTACAACTTGCAATTACGTACAGAAAAAGATAATTGTACTGTATAGCTCAAATTAAATTCATTGCAAGCATCAAAAGTGGCCTTCTATTCAAACATACAGCTTGCTTGGGGCACACACATGAACACATGCACTCCTATTTTATTTATGACTTTTACTACCTTTAAACGTTCAATATCAGCTAGTGACAGTCCCTTCTGATACACTGCCTTGGCCTATTGATCACAAGTTGTTTCCATATTCTTCTTAGTTTTCTGAAGGAGAAAGTAGAAACTACCTTAAGTGCAATTCCATGCCTTCGACAGCATCTCTCATGTAAAACAAAGATGGAGTGTACCATTTTTACAGGACTTGACATCTACCCATTTCTTCAGTTCAGTGAAGCTCTTCAAATAAATCTGGAACTGTAATGGAGCAGTGAAGACAGATCATTAGTTTTGACTGGATCCTCCATGCCTTCAGTAAGGCTAAAGCCTTTATCACAAATACACCCATCTTCATCAGTGTTTACCACTTTTGAGGTACAATATCTCCACTTCCAATGCTGTAAAAGAAATGAGTACCAAATACATTAAAAAAATTAAGATACCAATCATAATACTTCCACAGCTCCATAGATAACTACCAATCAAGGACATCAACGATTCTTGGCTTTCCATCCAAGGTAACTTGCAATCTGGCAGCAGCAGGGTCTACTACAGAATCTGAAAACATGTAACTTTGATAAATGCAAAGCATACACTACACTTCTGCTGTAAGAATGTAGGATCACTTAATACAAACGAAATCAAGAACCAAACAACTTGCTTACAAATCCTTGCTTTGCAGAATCCAAAACAAACCATAAACTTAGAATAGTGGATCTTACCCTCTTTCCACTTAAAATGCTTTTGATTTTTCAAAAATAATAAAGATTCACATAAACAATTGAATTCCCAGCTCCAAAGTATTTTAGTCTTGGCAATCATTTGCAGAACATAGCATAAGAAACTATAGAAATTCAAGAAAAATCAATATCCAATTTCATAAAATCGAATCCACACTTCCTATTACATTGCATAAAGAAACAGACATCAGGCAATTTTGTTTTACTTTTTCTTTCATTCATATTTAGTCTAAATCAATAGGAACCAAACTGAACAAACAAACTTTAATTTCTTCCCGGAAAAAAACACAGAATTAAATTAAGTACCAAAGCTCACAGTATATTTGGGATGAGCTTCGATGAAGCGATCCGCACCATTCTCCTTCTTTGGAATTAGAGAGGCCAAGAATGTTGACTCGTTTAGCTTGAAATTCCGAATTAAGAATCTGAAGACGACCATTACAATCACCTTCGCAACCACAAACGTAAGCGCTGCTCCCTGTGTTTACTAAAGTCCACGGCTTCTACTCCTGGGATTCCACTGTCCTTTGCTTCTTTTCCTGCTTTTTCTGGCGTAAAATAAGTAGATTTGGGAGACTGACTTGGTGGGAAGAGCAATGGGGTCGGCGGTATAGCGCAGGAGAGGCGTTTAAATATTGGGGTTTGCATTCAGAGGAGGTGTTTCGGTGATTATGGAGGGGTGGTGGTGGCGGAGAGCAGGTGGAGATTTGGCCGCGAAGGGTAGTGTGCTGTGGGCCTTTGGTTGGATGGGGTTCGGGTCGCCTAATTCCCTTTTGTGGTGAAATTACCGGTTTTGTCCGGCTTAAACCCCTGTGACCCCTCCCACTTGTCCTCGTTTTGAGGGATTTAGGCTGTGTTTGGGATTAATGTAACAGATCGTGTAATTGTGGTTGTATTAAATTATATTGTATTACATTATAATTATGATTAAAAATATTTTAATATTTAATTATTTATTTTTAAAAAATATTATAGATAAAATATAATAGATTTTATTAATTATTAATTAAATTTTTAAAAAAATATTATATGATATATAATTATTAAAATAAATAATATTTATTACATCTTAATAATTTAGGCTTTTTAAGGTTTTTATAATGGGTGCTCTTTTGGGGTTTCACAAATAACTCATTAAGAGGGAGTAAGTTTTTAAGTTTTTATGAAATCTTTAAATAAATAAGATGTTAAGTTTAAATAAAATTTAATAAATTATGATATAATTGAATTAAACAAAATTTAGTTTTAATAGGTAATTTTATAATTGTATTAAATATTATGTATTATTTGTGAAAATCACAACCAAAAAACTCTTAAATAAGGTTTATGATTTTATATATAAAAATTATTGTAAATTTACTATGACTTTCTACAATTTTTGAAAAAAGTATTCTAAAAAAATTTATCAAATACATATATATTTAAAAGCACTATACAATCACAAGAAAAAGCTCCAACCACAATCCAAACGCATTTTTAGCCTCTCAACAAGCGATGTCTATTATTTAATCCTTGAACTTGTTATTTTTGAGATTTTAGTCCAAAATTGACAGTAACTAGTCACGTTTGTCCCTAATCTATTAATCCATGTGTCCTTAGTGCCATATCATTGTCATATGTTGGAGGAAAAATGGTCCAAGTTAGACCAACAGAGGTGGAAAAAGTTGACTGGCATCCTCAAACTTGTTGTCTTTGAGGGTTTTAACCCTTCAACATATAATATGATAATTTTAGCTCTTAAACTACACATATTCTAGATAATAAACCAAACATTAACAACAAAAGTAATGTGGGTAACATATTCGTTTATTTTTCTATTTAGTCACATTTCATTAGTTCCATCTTAACAAAAAAATGACCATATGCCACGTGAGCCTTGCATCAATTGTAATTTTAAAAAATAAAATTAATTTTTACTTCTTTCACCTCATTTTGGCACCCTTCTCTAACTTCTCCTTCTTCTTATACCCTCCTCCACCTTCTCCTTTTCTATAAGAGAACCTCAGATCTGATTAGTGTAGAATTTCCTATTGAACCAAACGTCTCCTTCAAAACCCCCAATTTTCACTTATTTAGTGTTAATGTTTGTGGGTCCTTTATTTTTATCTATGATGGGAATGGTTTATAGGGCTAACATTACCATTATCAATAAAAAGATTTAGGGGAGATGAGAACCTAACAACTATGTCTAAATGAGGAGTTTTGACTTCAGTAGAGAGATTGGAAAAGGTGAAGGAGAGAGGTAGAATAAATAAACATTAATTTGATTTTTTAAATTATAATTAATGTGGGATCCACATGTCATGTGATCACCTTTTTACTTAATGGTATTGGCAAAATATGACTTAATGGAAAAATGAGTGGACATATGTATTATTTATGTTACTCTAATTGTTAATTTTGAATTTATTATCTAAAAAATATGTAGATTAGAGATCAAAATTCTCATATTGTTTGTTGAAGGGCTAAAATCCCCAAAAACAATAAGTTTAGGGTGCCAAGTCAAGTTTTCCTACTTTTATTGGTCTAACTTGGACCATTTTTCCTCCAATGTGACAATGATACAACACTGAATAGACATTGGTTAATAGATTAAGGATTAACATGTTTTGGACCAATCATTCAAGTGAAAATAGTTTAGGAGCTAAATAACAAATACTGTAGGTTGGGGAGCTAAAATCCTCAATAACGACAAGTTGAAGGGGGGCACAGGGGTTAAGCTTGTTTTGTCCTTGTATGGGAATATAATGACTCGGTAAATGATTTTCTTTATATTTAGTTTCCCTTTATCAACTTTTATACATTTTGAGATCTATTTTAAAATAAAATGTAACTGTGTTGATTTTTTATGATTTATTGAAATAATATAATTTAAATTTTTTTTCATAATTAAAAATCTAATTAATAAACATTAATATCATATATCTATATCTATTTAAATAAACTATATAAAAGGAGTAACCTCTTCTTCAATTTACAAGATGTATTTTATTTTTTAATCTAGAGCATCTTTAGTTTGAGTTTGAGGAAAAACCTAAGGAAGACAAGGGAAAGAAAATGAAAGAGTATCCTTCCTTCTTTTTCTTTTATTTGAATAAGTTAAAATAACTAAATAAATTTAAAGCAAAAAATAAGTAAAGCTTCTTCCCTATCTTCCCTTCCTTTCTCATTTCACCTTTTTTGCTAATTAAATGAAGAAATGGTCTCATCTCCTTGCAACTTCCCTCAAACTAAATATATTCTCGGAGAATTGGAGACTTTTGGGAAAGGGGAAGGAGACGACAAAAGGACTAGATCCCTCTTTGGTCAAGAGGGTGGAGAGTTGACTACCCTTGACCAAATCAATACTAAGGCTTAATTTCACATAAATTCCTCAAAGAAAAAAAGAAATATATTACAACAAAGCTTAACACCCAATGCTGGAATGGCCAAAAAACACCTAATTGAATAGGAAAATGATAGATGCCTACTGATAATAGTAAAGGGGAGAGGAGTCGCAAGAACAATGGTGAGAGAGCGGAATCCAAACCAAAAACACTTCAACCCAAAACCTCAATCCAAAATCCAATTGGGATACAATAAGACACTAAAAGAGAATGATAAAGGACACCGAGGACCATTTGAAGGCTATGGCTAAGGAGTCTTGGAGCAAGCAACCTCCTTCTTCATTACCAGCTTCCTAGAGGACTGGAAGATCAGTGAAATGTGGCACGCATTCATCAAGTGCGAGAGGGCGATACAAGTTTTTGTTGCAAAAAAAAATAAAAGGACAGAGCAGGACACCGATTTGGCTTTGTTTGATTCTTAGAAGTGAAGAACCGTAGGGAGTTGGAAGGGAAACTTAACTAGATTAGAGTGGGGTAGCATACAATCTAGGCAAACTTGGCTAGGTTCTCAAGAGAAGACAGTATGAAGAAGCAAAATCCCCCCATTCATGTTGGGGTGAGAAAAAACTAAAATACATGGTCTTATGTTGAAGCATTGAAGAATGGTTTAAGGAAGCAACAGGATCAGGTAGATCAAATTCAAAATTCCAAGCAAGTATGGAATGCAAAGAAACATAAACTGAACTCGAGTGTGGAAAAGGACGACTGGTCTAGGTTA